TTCCGGGAAACATCCGAGGATAAAATGGGAAATGGTCTGCAGAAGAAAATAACGTGTTCCGTAACGCGTAGAGGAGACGAAGTAAGTTCGAGATGACAGAGTGGGGTCAAAGGATAACTCGGGTCTCGACCGGAGACCTGCTTTTGACACGAATACGTTTATGCGATCACTTGGCCTCTCGTTTCTCACGTTAAGGCTCTGTCCACACCGGTACAGACTCTACGTATCGTAGTTTTATTTCAAGTAAACCGCGATCCCAGCTTCCTATCGAGTAAATCAGGCTGAAAGATTTAACTCTCTGATATTCCAAAGAGATCGTTCCACTGGTGATCGCAGATTTTTACTCCCGCTTCGCTGGCTACCCGTCTGAATCTATAATGCTTTTGATATCAAGCTTTAGTCGTTTCGTATAATCGTGTCGCTTCGCTTCTGAAATAAAGCAAGAAGGAAAAAAGAGTGGAAAAAAGAAAAAAGAAGGAAATCCGTCGACGGCAAAGCTCGGTTTTTAAGCGACTCCAGTCTGTAAATGAGGCATCGTGTAACAGGAAACACCGCGAACCTATTAGCGCATGAAATGGAGCAAAGTTGAAAAGAAACGAATTCCGTCCTCATCGAGAATGCCAGTAATCCACGTGCAATCGCAGACACGCTTCAAAACATTGTTTTTAATCCGTGCGACGACGTTGGAATTTTTCCCCGAACGCGAACACCCAATTAACTCGGATGAATTGCTTGGATCACCGAGGTCGCAAACGTTCGCTCTACTTTACCGGTTCTTCACGATCTTCCGCGGCTACGTCCGCGTTACACAAACAGAGAGTAGAAAGGAAAGAAATTTATTTTCTCAAACCAGCCAGTCCCATTATGCTGATACAACGGTATCGATTCACCCGTTTTCTCCCAACGATTTCAATGAACGCGTCGCATTGAAAGTGTTGCGTGGAAGAAAATGCATACACCTCGTTCGCGTGTAATGGTGACCCGTTGTAAAGCGACAGACAACGCGGATATCTGGCCTCAACATCCGCGCAAATTAAAAATAAAATAATATCATCGGTGAGCCGACTCTCAGCAACGTGAAAAGCGCGAAGTACAAAATTTCCTCGCTTAATTGCGGCGAAAATGTGTACAGAGTGTTTAGGATAAAGTTTCCGGTGAACCCTCGTCGCTTTTGATGTGTCCAATTTTTACTCGCGAAATTGCACGTTCAACGAGCGATGAAACATTCCGAATATTCTTTCGTCGATCCTTCTAAGATGGTGAAATATTTTTACAGGCGACGAAACCGCGAATGCATGTCACTCATACGGTGAAACGATTAAAGTTTTAGAAGTATCGATTCCGTGGCGTTACCGTTGACAGACAGAGGGATCGTCAAAGAGCATAATAATTACTGCGCCCGCAGAGAAGAGGCTCAACCCTTTGTTCTATAGTCACTTTGCGAAAGGGGCTGCGCCAGGGAGTGAGGGGGGTGGCTTTGGGTGATACCGAGGCTAAGGGGGCTCGGGGCGGTGGTTGAAGAGCATCCGTTTCAGTCGCGCCATTATGTAATTGATCTGGGCTTTCCGTACGCGATGATCGTGTAATGCGTTCCACGTACTCGACGCCTGCGATTCCGCACGGATCTTTTTTCCTCCGTTCCTATCCCGAAAGCCCCCGGAGGCAGAGGAACGTTCCACCACGCGGATAGATTAAAAGGAACGTACCGCCGGCAAAGGTGAGAGCCTGTGCACGACCAAAGTCGATACTCGTTTCCGTATCAATACCTTTTCCACAGGATCCCGATTCTTGAGTTGACGATAATCTTAACGGCACGTTTTCCCTACCTCTCGTTCCTCTCGTTTAGGGATGAAAATTCGTCGATACTGTTCCAAAATTAAGCTTCATTTAGATAATCATATCTAAACATTGGTGAGATCTTAAAATTTATCTTTTTTGTAATTCATGTTGCGACAAGGAAGTTATTGTTGGTCAAATGAAACAGACACCGTTTATCTACTCGTACATGTACACACTTAATTCCAAGTCCTATAAAGACAATCGAGCCAAGATTATATCGCTAGTGTTCGCGTTTAACTCTCTTTCTCTCCTGTTCACCCCCTCTTTTTTTAAACTTCTTCTTTTTCCTTTTACTTGCTTCTCAGTCGTTTTCATTCATTTGTTCGCCCGTTTTCTACCCTTTTCTTTTCGCTTCCAATCTTTCTGGTTGGTTCTTCCTTTCTGCGACACGCACACACGCACCCCTGATCGCTGCTAGATGTTTAATTAAAGTTGTTTGCGCGAGCAAGTTCGGAAACTACGGGGATAACTTACGAACGGGAAGCAACGAAGGGGCCATTTAATTGTCCTCGCGTTTAATGCGTCGCATCGTTCGGGATTTATACTCGTCACGGTGTCAACCGGAAGTCGGGTTCGCTGGCTGGGTTGGTCGCAGCCGCGCCATCAGTTCCGGGACGCGAAAAAAGCATCCCTCGGCGAGCCGAAAATCTCTCCGTAATTTTATTTATTATCTGATACGATGTAGTTAAGATACTTGTTGGATCAGTAGTGAAAAACGATAGGGTTCGATCGATCGGGCGTTGGTTGGATCTCATTATCCTCGAGGAAAGACGAGATCTTCTGGCGAAACTTCTTTCTCGTTGGAAGAAGGAGCCATCTCGTTCGTTGTGATACAGAAACGCTTTCCTCGTTAGTCTTAATTCTTTCAGAAGCTGACATAGGTGATACTTCGTATCACCAGCGACGGTACATCCGCGGAGGCGTTAATGACGCCGTCGATGTACACGCGATGAATAAGATCGTAATAACGAGTGCCAACCGTTGTTTGCAAGCAAACCCTTAATTTTCCTGCCTAATGTTTGGATTAATTTTCCGTTCGTCTTTTTCCCGCCGCGTATTTACTTTTGTTGAATAAAACAAAGAATGTGGGACATTTTCGTGTGTGGAAATGGAATTTCTCTAGCGACTCTAGTATTTACCATGGTGGGTACATTATCTTTCAATGGCAAAGGCAAAATTATATTTCATTCTCTTTCATCAGGCTACTTTTACTGTAACAGACTGTTCTTATCGATAGGAACGTTGCAAAATCTTCCAGTTGCCTCACAATGATAAGAGAAAATTGTTGTTTCATTTGCACGGAAACATTTACTATTAGCATCGAACAGATTAAGAACCTCGTCGGTTTGTCAGACGATCTTTGACCGCGGCGTATCTAATGGCACGAAGCAGAGAAAAAAGGGGATCGAAAGAAATGTCTGACTTTTCAAACGCGTTTCTGATGGGAGATATCGCGTATCACTATACACATATACGAACAGTACGTACACAGACATATACCAGAGACGCTACTCTTGGCCCGAGCAAAATCTCAGCCCGCAGGAATGACAATAGACTGTCAGATAATGAATCCCCACTGTCACCCCCTTTACCATACCACGTTCTGAAACCCACCCTCTGCCATGCTCTCTCTTTCCTCTCCTTCTCTCTCGTTTGCTCCTGTTTCTTCTCATTGAACAGCGACAGCTTCGAAACCGCCAACTTTTACTCTCAAAGAACAAACTTCTCCATGCTACCGATAGAAGGGAAAATTAGACTAATCGAATTGCTAAGGCTTGGATTAACCCTCGGACAATTTAAATTTCATTTTAAACTCTATCTTATTTTCTTTTCATATATTTTTCATTAATTCTTCAGGTATTACTTTGGAATTTTAGTCAAAATACCATTTTAGGATGTTTTGTAAATGTTAGTCTCTAGTGGGGGTATTTGCAATTTTGTAATTAGGGACTTTTGTCTTGGAAAATGAATAATCGGTTTGGTTTTTAAAATAAGGAAAGTTATTGGACGATGGAATCGTTACTTTAACTTAGATTTCAGTTGTATCTCTCGCTATTTAGTACCCCTCGTACTTTCCACCCTCTGCTCTTGTAGCAAACAAGACTATGACCGAGTAGGCGAGGCGTCCACTTAGCGCTAATGCCCCTTTTATTGGTCAAGATCTCAGTCGAAAGCTGAATAGATGCCTGGGTCGTCCTTCCAACTTGGTTTCTTCTGAAAATTAAACGAAACTATCGATTACAACCCCTCGCGAATATTGCGACCATTCTATGAAGGACTAATTCAAGCTTGATCGTCACTTTTGGATAAGAACTGATAGGAAATAATTTTTTCAACAAATTTTCAAACGCAGTCGAACCAATCTGGACTTACAGTCTTAATCTAATATTCTTGATTTCTCATCGATCATTTGCCTCGTAATAAAAATGCAGAAAAGTTAATTCATTTATCCGCTTACGATTGAGCCAGGGCTCTTTTTAATCAAAAGTATAATACGTATTTGAATTTACTATGGTACATGCAAATCTCTTCCCTTTTTTTTCTCTCTCTGTGAACTCGGAAACGAATGGAGCAAAGCCGGAAAAAAGAATTGGAACGTGAGGTGTAACATATCGAACTGAACGTTGAAGCCAGCCAGAACGAGTAGAAAAAAATTTCGCCTGGAATAACTCGAGGCAGAAAAAGTGAACAAAAAATTTCCATAAAAATGCACCCGCACGTATAATCCGGATGAAGCTTAGCATTGTACGAACGGGTATGTCACTGATGGAAATGGTGGAAAAAACATCAAATTGGTAGATATAAATGATGGCAGTCGAAGACACGAGAATTTTACACCCTCAAGTTAGAGAGAGTGATAATTTCAATAGAAGATTAATGGTGCATTAAATATAAATTTTATACGTCACAAGCATTTTGTGAAAATATATTTATTTCGTTAGTTGCTTGATACATTCATGACAGTATATTTTAGGACCTGAAATTTTGTTTTTGTATACATAGTTCTGTTTCAGTCTCATGGAACAAAATATTTTATTCTTCTCCTTTAATACTTCATATTTATGAATTTTCATGTTGAATGAGACATTGTTACTTCTACAATATAATAATTCCTATTATTGCTTCAACAGAACGTTAAGGAAATTATTACTGTCAAAAAGTATACTGAATATATTTATTACAAAATATTTCACATAGTGTCTACTCACTAACATAGGTTCTCGTAGAATTTGGAAGATTATGTTGCACGAGTTTCGTGTAAAGACGTATCGTGAAAATAATAGGACGAATTACAAATAAAAGTATACAGTTTAGAAAAATACGAACACGTTCATATTTTTATCGAATGAATTATATATCTAAAAAATATGTACTTAAAAAGTCTTTATATAATTAGATGTCAAGTACGTGGTACATTTCTATGAGATCTTAACTTTTAATAATTACACATCAGTCTTAAGACTGTTAACTGATTAATCATTAGCAGTAAATTAAGCTTTGTAGATCACAATGGTTTAGTACTTTACACATTCAATAAAAATATTTTGTATTTTAGGCATTTTCACTAGCGGGTCTCTTCTTATTCTGAAAAATAAATAATTTGTCATTATAACATTGTATAAAAATAACCGTACGTTAATATCGTTTAAAAGAAAAACTTACAGTTTGTTTCGACGGTTTCGCGTCCGTATTAGTAGCTCGCGTTTTGGACCTTTCTTGTTCTAATTGTGCATGGAGAGATGCCACCTCTGTTGTCAATTCATCTCGTATTTCTTGTAATTTCGCTACTTCGGCCAATACTGAAGCTTTGTCTTTCACTTAAAACAAAAAAAAATTAATTAAATAATATTTTAGAGTATGTTAATAATATTATACCGTTGATAACTATAATATTAACTTACTTTCCCCGTGAGATAGTATTTGATAAAGCTTTTTATTCCGTTCCTTAACCTGTGTCAATTCTTCCTTTAAGTTATCGACCTGCGTTCTTAACTCTTTAATAATTTCGTCACGTTTCTCCACTTCCACCCTTAATTGAGCAGATGTGATATCATCATCAATTTTATTGAATCTTGCCTTCAATATATCCTTTTCTTTTCCTTTTGTAATCTCTTCTTTTGTTTCTTTCTCGACTCTTTCGAAAAATTCTACATCCGGTTCTACGAAATTACAATTAATAATTTTATTATTTTATTTCATGTAGGTTTTAGAAAATTAACAATACAAGCATATTACCTTTCGATTTATTGTCTCCGGTTTCAGGGGGTAAAACTATCTCTTGAGGAGCATTGGATCCCATATTGTTGAATTCCTCCAATGACATAGTAGCTTTTTTCGACTTTTTCCCTGATTTCTTATTTGGCTCCGGTTCTTTTTCTGATTTAGCTGCATTTACTAGTTGCTCTTCATAAGACAGCTTTGACAGTAAGATGGCTTGATGCAACTCTTGCTCAAATGTTTCCTCGACAGCCTTAAGGAAATCACAATTGGACGTGATAACACACAACAGTTATAAATATGTCACTACTGAAACAAAATCTTAGATTTAACACTTTATATCTGAAACTAAACTATAATTTTCACGCATATCAAGCCTGTGCTGTCCATATTACATGTAATTTGTTGAGAGTTATTACATGAATGTCCAAGTAAAACTTATGGCAGTTTATTTTTTCAACTTTATATAAAAATTTTGTAAAGCTACTGGCAATCAATTATGAAAAATGATTAATTGTTTATATATTACCATTGTATCTTTTTGTTTCCACTGTTCCCATTGTTGGTTATCACTGTTATTATTATTGGGCTTTTTCTTTTTTCCCTACAAGTAAAAAACCATAATAAAATACTCAAAGCATAAATTTATTATAAAAATAATTAATATTCTACATCTTAGAATTGCATATAATCATCTTAAATCAAAACTCAATTCAAAATTCCCGCCATAGTGTAGTCTACTGTGCCGTTGACCGCCTAATCAAAAACAAAAAAAACAACGAAGACTACATACGTCATACCTTGTTTTGTTTTTTCTTGTCATCCTTCTTTTGTTGTTGCTGTTGCTTCGCTTTATCATTTTTAGATTTTTGATTTGTCTTACCAGCAGTAACACTCTTCTGAGTTTTCTTCGGCTTACAATCGTCATCATCAATGCTGAGAACAGCAAATCTCGAAGGTACGGCAGTCGCCATTTCTGTAAATTGTGAATATACGCATTGTTAAGGAAACTACACAACTTCCGGTATTGTTAAGATCACGAAATTTATGATATACATCGTATTTTGCATTACTGCAATATACAATTATACAAAAACTATTCTACTGTAATGCAAGTCACTTACGCGTATACGATTATTATGTGCAAACGGATGTATAATGAAAAATGAACAACGTCGTTAAGCTACAACGTAAACCGGAAACGAATAGTAAACGTCGACGTAAAATACCAGCGCCTCTAGCGGAAAATATTATTAAAATTATACTTAACCGCCCGGCGACACAGTAGTACCAACAGTTGAAGGAAGAGGATCAAATTTTGAATAAAAGAGTTATAATTGATAAGTTTTATACATGTTTTAATAAAAAGTTAGCTCGTTTTATATCTATTATCAATTAAGAAATGTAAATAGTTTGTAATGTATTTCATACATTCTATTTAAACATGCAATATACATGATTAAATATTTTAATTGTATAGTGTTGATGCAATCATGTAATGCTATCTGTATTGTTTTTTCTCATCTATATTATTACGAAGAATCTTGCATATTCATTTTATTCAATTCTGTGTTTCATGTGTAATTCAGTAGCAAATAACTTTATACTGTAAGTATTAATTTCATAAGTTGTTATACAGCGGTATATAATAATTAATCAGTTTTAAAATGACAAGTTGCGAAGAAGCTGCAATTGTAAAAGAAAAATTGAAATTCTTATAATCTTCGGGTTCTTGTAATCTTTGTTCCCAAACAAAAGTACTTGTTTAAAATTACTAACATTTATTTGCTATTGTGATATTAATGATATTGCGATACAAGTGTTGATTACTGATTAAAAGTAAAGTTGTAAAATTTTAAAATGTAATGCCCAACGTTGAAGGTAATTGGCGCGCAATGGTTGGCGATTCTGAAAGTTCGAGATCTCGATCAACGAGAGAGAAGGAAGTATCCATCTACACATCCATCCATCGTACAGAGCCCCGTTGCAAGTCGGGAAACCGAACATGTACGTACGTCGTATAAGCGACGTAGAGTGTTGAATGTGTCGATTGCGTTTGGGGTTGGTTTGCACTTTTCGCGGTTGTATGTGCGCGCAGCAACGTCGCGTGGTTAGTTATTAAGGTGTTTGCAAAGCTTTTTAGTGTACAGTGACTTAGTGTTTAGTAGTGAGGTGAAAAGAGAAACTTATTCTTTTCTTGGGACGCTCGCCAATTGTGGAACTGCACGACTATTGCGGCGTCGTTGTAATAAACAGTCAGATGAACTCTAAGTTCACACAGTGTATCTGTGTGTGAAACATCCAATCGCGGAATTCGCGGGCTAAGATGCCCGACGTGGCTCTCGTGGATAACATCGGCATCGAGCACAAGATTAACGAAGCGGCGGACGACGAGGGGAGCGACGCTCGCTCCTGGTTTCCCGCGAATACACCTCCGATACCATTTTTATGTCTGCCCGCGCATATGGGTGAACAATATCTTGTATTTTGAAATATCAAACAGTGTTTGCAAATTGACTAGCAGTTTTGGATAAACATTGTATTCGATGTAGGAAGATGATTACCACTCAAGATAACTCAACATAAAAGCAACTATAATTTATTACCGCACTATTTTTTTTTTTTTTTCTTGTGCTCGTAACGGAGCATGTTGTGCGCAAGATTTTGAGGCGAATGTTTATGGTGCAATTCATAGATCTGGAAGGACATATTAATTAAGGCTCAGTAAATGTTTTATTTAGAAGATTTAATAATAACTACGTTGTCTTTCGTATTTACATTAATTAACAATAGTAATATATGTATATGAAGACACTAAAAGTGTTTTAAGTAATCAATATATGTATTTCAAATTTGATGGACACAACATGATAGAAACATAACTGCAAGGTGTCCAAAAATTTAAATAAGTCATTCTGTTTTTTGGGGCAATTGCATAGCGCGCGTGTCTTATACAGTGCTGCATATTAATCATGTTTCTTTCAAAATAAAATAATATCACTTGTTGTTGCTGCTTATTAAGACTATACTTCAATGAATACAATAACTCTTTGTATTAATATGTACACGAGTACTGCTAAAGTTTGAGGTGCTGTTGTTTCTGAGAACAGAAAGCATATAAGATTTTATATCCAATTTCAATGCTGATTTTGTGAACGAACATAGCTAAAGTACATTTCTAAGATGTGCGAACAAACAGAAATTAATTACTTGGATGGAGATGTTGTTTGGGTGAAGCTAGGAGCTTGCTGGTGGCCAGGGCAAGTTACTGGATTTCATAATTTACCTGAAGATATTCAAGTTGAATTTCAGAAAAAGCCTTTAATAGCTGCTGTAAAGTTCTTTCAAGAAGACACATAGTAAGAAGTTTAACATCTTTAATATCATTATAATAATATTTTCATATTTATTCATTTACATTTAATATTTTTATTTTTATAGGTATTTATATATTTAGTTTCTAAAGAAATTTGATATTATTTAACTAACTTCTTTTATTGTTTCCAGTGAATTTGTCAAAAACTATCAACAGATTTATAAATATAATTGTACCTTAAAAGATGATTTCATCAAAAAAGGACTAGGTATGATTTTCTTTCGCTTGTAATGATCATGAAAATAATTTTAAATGACAGAATTATAAATCTAATCGTATATTTTATGATTTATTTCTAGACAAGTATAGAAGCAAAAGTAAGGATGGCTCTAGATATATGGATAAATTTCCTGGAGATGTAGAAATGGCTGAGAAGTTAACAGGAGGTGATCCTGATATACTAAGCCATGATAAATTTTGTCCAGAGGAGAAGCCAAATATATCAGCTTTGTTTGGAGATAAGAAAATTCCTAAAAGAAAACGGGAACGTGAAGAAATTAGCAGAAGAAGCGACAGCATCGATGTCGTACGAAAAATCACTCATCCTCGATTTTTGAAAGAAAGCGATCACGAAGTTCGAATTCGTCAACAACCTAGTAGTTTGCCATCTACACCAAACAGTAGTGGTACTCCGCAATATCCTTGTCATTTGTGTAATTTTACTTCTTCTCGCGTTAATGTTATTATTTGTCATATAAAGAGTCATAGGTCTGGTGGAGATACTCCGCCATCAAAATCAAAAGTAAAAACTTATTCTCAATATAGAAGCAGGTATTCAGATGTAGATACTCCTAAACGAAAATATCCAAGAAAAGAAAAAAGTCAATCAACTAAAAGTAGAAGTAGCAGCGAATCTGGTAAAAGAAAACAAAGTAAACAAAATGAAAAGGCTGCTAAAAAGAAGAAGACGGATCCTCAAATTCGTGATACCATATTAGCAGATTGGGAAGATGAATCAGATGAAGACATTAGTCTTACTCCTGATAAATCGGCTGATCTATCAAGTGTACATAATTCATCAACAGAAACTCGATTTGATCTTGATGACTCTAAGGAAGACTCTAATGAAAAGGATAATACAGTATCAGATACCAATGAACTTATTGCGGAAAGCGAAAAATTACTTGAAGAAACTGAAAAGTTAACAACAATTAATGTATTAGAGGAATCTATGACTAATAGTAGCTCGACAAACTTCAAATCAAAACTTGATAAACAATTAGAATCAGAAAAAGATGACAAAATATTTGATGCTGAGAGTAATGAACCCATTAAAAACTCGCAGAAGGACAGAGATGTTGCAGTTGATAATGATAATAAACTTAACACATCAGACAAAGAGGATAAAAAAGCATTACTATCTTGTTTTGATTTTCATGAAGAGGAACTGTCTATACCTCCCGTAAGAAAAAAAGCACGTGCATTTAATCAGAAAAAAGAGATTATAAAAGAATTCGAAATGAGTCAAGCTTTAAAAACGGAGCAAGAAAAGCAGATTGAAAATGATAAAATCGAAAGTGAAGATTGTAACAGTAATTCAAAAGAATCTGAAAAGTCAGAAACACAGGCTTCAAGTGAACAAGAAAAACCTGAAGAAAGTAATAAAGCTGTAGATAATGATGCAAATAAAGAAATGAACAATGATATTGAAGATACAAAAGAAAAAATTAAATCTGAGAAAGTAGCAGAAGATGTACGAAAATCTAGTACTAATGCTGGTGAAACGGAATTAGATATTGTAGAAATATTCGAAGTTGGAAAGGTAGAGGTTGATAATGCAAATACAGCCAATGATCTTAAAAATGTTGAAGTACAAGATTCTGATGTTAAAAATGTTAGCAAAGAGCTAACCGAAAATGATGAATTAAAGGAACAAAATAAATCAACTGATCATCAACAAACAGAAACTAAAGACAAAATTACTGTTGATACTAATGTAGAATCTGTGGAACAAAAACCTTCAAAAGAAATGGAAGAAATTTTGCCTGAACGATTTACAGTAGAAACAGAAGATGAAACTGTTTCTGAACCTGCTGATATACCTCCGGAACAAAGTGAAAATTCAGATGCAGATATGTTAGATCAAGATCAAGTGCCTAATTCAGATGCTACAAATATTACATTAAGTAGCGATCAGTCAAATGCTACTTTGCAAGTTCGTAGGCGCAGGGGAAGACCAAGAAAATCCGAATTACTTCGTGCTAATTCCAGTGGAAATACTAGTGGAAATGAAAGTCCAAGAATAAGAGAAAAAATCAGTGCAGAGATGTTTGAAAAATTTGAATTGGAAACAAGAGCTTCAGAATCTGATAGTGAACGTTCCAGCAGTGGCCGGAAACGGAAACCAAACAAAAAATATATAGTATCAGATATATATGTACCAGACGTGGATCAAAAGGTATACAAGACTGATGAAAGTCAATCTGAAAGCGAAGATAAAGGTTACAAAAATGTAAAAGTTAAATCAAAAAGAGGTAGAAAGCCTGCAGAAATTGACAAAAAAGCAAATGAAAATACTGATCTTATGCAAGAAAAGGAGTTAGAAATCTCTTGTAATATACTAGATACAACAGGGAATAATGTTGATTCTGCAAGCACAGAATTGAAGGATGATTTAGCTGAAAATAGTGCAAGTAAAAATCAACAATTTGTAGATGTAGACACAAAACTTACTGACACTTCAATTCCCACTGAAATTTCGGAGAAAATGGAAGTATCTTCAGAAGAAAAAGTTTTGTCGGAGAAATCCGATATATCCGTTCTTCTCGAAGATACAAAAACTAAAGAAACAGAAGATAGCGCTGTTAAAACTCAAGGTACATCACTTGAAGTTGAAAAAATAACAGACGATAAAATGGAAACTGAAAGTACAATAACACAAAGCGATCTTCTTCAAGAAAACTTAAAAGATTTAGATACAGAATCTTTAGGTACAGATCAGCCGGAAGTTCCATTAGAGAAAG